AGGGCGAAGGCGAAGTTAATCAACACAATTCTTGAGCTCACTTTGCAGCACCGCCTGCGTATGTCTCGACCTTCATGATTATAGCAGTTCCATTGATTCGTTTCACTTCAGCAAGGTCTTAATTCTTGGAAATGCAGTACAATGGCGATGATGTTCGGAGTGGGGTGTCTTGTGGTGAATGCAGGTTTCTCGAGATGGTCCGCTGGAGTGGTTCAAGGGTGTGGCAATGTACCAAATGGTTGTATCATCACGCAATGTGTAACTTTTCACGGGGAAAGATGAACCATAACAATAATTCTTTGTGTACTCTCCGGCAGAGTCGTGTAATCAGTTACATGTGCAGAATACCGCCGAGGTCTCTATCCGATAGTATGCGTGGAGCAGCCCATTGAAAGTAATTGCATATGCGAGTCTTGAGGGGATTGCTTAGGATTCATGTTCCATACAGAGCAGCCGGGATTTGTATCCATAGCTCACTTGGATCACATCGGAGACCATACTATGTAAAACCGACCTTATGAACGTTGTAAGGGTGCAGTTAGCACATGTCACACCTTCGGAATTGTTTTCAACTGAGCCAACGGGTCACCGTACAGTTTCAGTGGAATATATGCGATGTTCACAATGTTTTGACTTTTGTAGGCTGGCAGGTAGTCTCCCCTAGCCAGAGCATATGCCGCGCTGGTGGGTAGTGCGCGATCTGGACAACGGAACTACCGGCGGTGCACGAGGAAAAGATACAGTTACAGGACATTTGCCGAACTACCGTCCGCCGTGTGCCAAGTCAGAATATTTAACGTGCCAACACCTCTGTCGAAACATTTGCATCACTTTGAAGTATTATGCAATGTCGCCTGGCCCACGTACTAGCTAACGTTTACCGCCTCGTTTGCCTTTGGCTCCTTTTCTGTTGGCTTCCCGAGCGAGAGCCACACCACCTTTGCCCTTGCTTACGCTCCGTATTGCCTTCCGTACGTTGAGAACTTCATCGCCTGTACCTTTCCCCTTTCTCGCTCTCTTTGCATCACTATCCAACTTCGACAGTACTGCAAGTGATGTCTGCTTTTCTTGCTCCACAGATGTTTCTGCAGCATCAAACTACGGACAGTGAGTCACATGCGGCGATGAGCTGATTTCAACTTACCTTGCGCTTGACGCCTCTCAGTTTCTTCTCTCCGTCAAGCTTCTTGTCGAATTTGCCCATGCTTGCCGTACTTATTCGAGTAGTAGCCAGAGTCTTCTCGATATCCCTTTTACGTTCCTCCCGCTCACCAGCAGCGGTGTGTGAACGAGCAACATTTTGGAGTCGGTGTCGTTCGTTTTTTGCGACTCTCGATGTGCGTGCATCACGGGCGACTTTGACAGGATCATGATCCACGGCTGAAGGGATGATGAATTGAGCTTTGTTCTCGATAAAAAAAAAATAACACGGACGAGCATCAGCCTTGACTTCGTGAATCCACTGCTCCTCCTTCTCCTTATTTTTACCATCCTTGCCCCAGCGGTTGACCCACTCCTGTCGCTCTTCATCCCATACCTTCTTTTCACGCACACGCTTCTGGATACCCTTTGCAGCAGCGAAGCGTTCCCATTTCGTCGGCGGTTTGGGCTTCGGCAGGGGTTTGGCGCGAGGAAGCTGTGTCGTCGGTGTAGGAAGTTGGGCAAGTGGACCGTCTGGTGAGGGCTGGGTGGGCAAGCCATAGAGTGCTGCGATCAATGCTTGGATGCCGTCTCGAGCAGTCGATTGTAGGTATTCTTCAAGATTTGATCTGAATGAAAAATGTTGAATATAGTTGTATTTAATGATACAGATAATTTGTCGTACATGTAGCTATCCTCGTCAATTGGGGTGAGGTCTGTCACGGTTAGGAAGCCTATGTCTACGTCGAGAGGTGTCTCTTTCTCGACTGTGACAGATTGACTATTGAATTCGGTGAGTGGTGGTTTTCTAAAAGAAGAGGACCGTACTATTTTGCAGCATGCGATGCTAGGATATTCGATACGTCCATCGCGGGGCGAAATTCGAGAACGTTAGGCGTGGATACAGTAGGAAAATATTGATCAGTGTGATGCGCTTGTTTGGCAAGACCTTTAGATTTCAATAAAGCCAAACATTGCATCACATCCTGAAGCCTTTCCGCTGTGCCATTTACGTTCATGACACCTCGAGTCCCTTTGCACATCTTGCAAAGTTCAACACTACTTAACTTCGTGTCGTCACAAGGCAGGTCATGAAGACTGAAAGCGAAGCTCCGAAGACACCAACACCCACGCAAACTCACGCGCAGACTTCGTACACTGCACAATGGGGTACCACACGTATGTAGCATTGTCCAAATGTCCCTGTAGTGATTAATATTGAACCTCTATCACTCAGACATACCAATTGATCCTGCGCTTCAGCAACAATCCCAACACGCCACGTCAAGCTCTCTCTTTGTTCATATCCATTCGGATGCTCAATATATCCATCTTATCCAGGACAACTCCATATTCCTACCAATATACTCACCACTATCCTCAAGCTGCGTATTCGCATTATTCATATGTCCCACAACAAGCCCAAGCCCAAGTACAGAGACAGCAGACCTCAACAACTCCTGTAACAGGAGCAACTACTCAGGCCGCAAATGCCAATAGTGGGATGGATACCGCCGACGTTGCAACCTTGAACGATGCTCTTGGAAGCGCGGGTGTTGATCTCCGGGTGCGTTAGCACTGGCATTATACTGGAATTCGGAAGTGACTATTCCGTAGGCGGAGGAGGAAAGCTTGCAGAGGTCCCATGACTCGCATCAGTCATATCGAACCTTTGAAGACAGATCACGTAAACAACCAGCTACTCCTTCCTTTGACACACGATTTCTTGGCGCCACTATGCGTACCATTGGCACGGAACACAAGGTGACAAAAATCCCGGAAGACTCAGTGAATTATTTGGCAATCGCTCTCCGTGCCCGTCTACAAGACCTCGTTACTGCGATGATTGCTGCAACCTACCACCGTACGGATACCCAGTTCGACCGCCCGGCATGTCTGTACGATAATGGCACCCCGATGTGGAGCATAGTCGTACAAAGTGACGTCGCTAAAGCAACTAGTTGCGTTGGAGAAGATTGAGCGAGAGGAAGAGATGAAAGTTCGGAAGAGAGCGCAAAGAACGCGCTGACCTGGCCGCTGCACACGCCGCTAACCTATCTGCGCAGGCTTCAGGTGGCAATGCCATGGCCGTTGACGGAGATGAGGAGGGAGGTGCGAAGAAAAAGAAGAAGAAAGAGGGGCCTGGTGTAACGGCGAGGAATATGTCTGAAGATGTGCGGAAAAAGATGTCGAACGCTGTCGCAAGTCAGGCTGCTGGACTTGGTGGGAAGTATGCATGGATGAATGCTGCAAATTCCTCTGCGACAAGTGGTAAACCGAAGCCTGCGGCATCTTCTGCTGCTGCAACAAGTCCAGCTACCACCACGACCCCTGCGACTACCACAGCTCCTGCAGCATCAACGACTGCAACAACATCCTGGGCGCGACCGTATGTAGGAAAGAAAGGCAGTCCGACATCACCGCTGACGGGAGAGGATGACGATCGGATGCCAGTCACAATGCGTGATGCGATGTTCGCCATAGAGAAGGAAAGAGGTCATGGAGGAGGTCGCGGATCCGCCCGCGGATGGTCGTAGCTGGTTGTGCTTTCTAATGTTGTTGTTTCGATCGATATCGTCTGCATGGCTAGTCGTTTGTTTTCTCTGTTTCGTACCTACACTTTACTTCTAAATAACCTGCCGCTGGCGAAAGTTTGAACTGAGACACTGAATGCAAATTAGCAGGGCCCGCTACAGATTATCAAACTATAGTACATATACCACAAACACCTAAGTAAGTACCACCCTCTACTTGTACTTGCATGTTACAGCTTCATCCCACATGATATAGTGACACTGGGAAAGGATTGATGGACGTTCTAATATAGAGACTGGCTGTGTGATTAACCGCTGTGAGGCGAACGTATTTGATGAATAGAAGCAATGCACAGCTGCCACTACCCTGCATATTCCAGAAGGGACGCCAGTGGGTGAGATAGTATGAAAATGAACCGTTACCCAGATAATCAGATTCGTCCGTGTCAGGTGAATTGAAGTTCTTTCTCCGCCTTTCTCCGCTCTCTTCTTGCTGCTAAGACTACTGGGTGATGGGATCGTACAACGCGAAAATGGAACTTGGATACCGGTATACTTGTGGCTGGTCCATTTGAAAGTGGTGATTGGCTGGGCGCAGTTCGATTCTCGACAGACTCGAAGAAGTTTGCAATCAGGTCGTGGCTTGAAGTGTGCCCGGGTGTCCAAACACAGAAAATGGATGTGAGAGGAAGGAATTTCAGAATATGAAGGAACGTTTGTCTTCCTTCGATTGGTCTGGCTAGGGGAGACTGGAGATTCAGTGGATCCGGAATGCGCCAGCTGTTGAAATATTGCACTCGGACACCAGCCACGACGATCTGCGACTTTAACGCATCGACGACGCTGGAGCTCCCTTTGCAGGGCACACCAAGGTTATCACTGGTCTAGCACTTTCACATGACAGCGCTCTCCTCGCCAGTGCTTCTGGAGACGACACCATCAAGCTCTGGGCCGTCGAGTCCCATCAGCTCATATGCAATACTTCATCCGACTGCCTTGCCACTAGCATCGGGCCTGCGCCGGAAGCACAACCCACCCTCTCCTTGAAAGTACGTGTTCATCAGCGTTCGCCGTTTACACATCTTCTAGGACTAACATTCTCTCGAAGACCAAACCAGCCCGTAAGCATTTACATGAAGAATGCTGTCTATTTCATCCATTGTGCCGATTCATATGAGTTATTGCAGTCTGACGTAACCCAATGATATTGCCTGCCACATATTATACTTGTCCGGAACGACCGACCCGCGATCCTTTCGATGTAGGTCGTTTGTCTCGGTTCCTTCACGGTTGACTCGGCTGCAGTTCTCTGCTACGTCGGCCTTACCACCCAACTCGGCGCATGCTACACCTCAGTTTGATGATATCAGTCATAAAATAGCAATGCATGACTGAGTGTGTGTCCAGTTCGAAATAAACTCTCCGCTCCACCTTTCGAATGGAGTCACTCAGTTTCTACGGCAATACCTTTCTTTCCTCGTACCAAGACACAGCCACCGCTCGTTATAGTCGCAGCCGGACGGAAAGTCACTGTGACGTGCATCTTCTTGACTCTTGTTGCCTTTTTGCTGATCAGCCTGTCATGTCGTAGGACACCGATACATCTGAAATTGATTCGCTTCCAGACGTGCATTGGTGCAAGGCGTTCCTCTGCGACTATTCGTGCTGGTCTCATGGCAGACTGAGGATGCCTCCGCGGTGGCCCTTGGAGCGCGTTGACATACCCCGCCAGGATAACACGATGAACAGCGGCCATGGTGGGCTCGCAATCGCAATCAGTTCAACGTGCACTCATTACGTTCGTTGTACTTATTCCCTGCAATTGATGATTTTACACTTCTGTACCGATGCATACTGATTCTGTCTGCAGGGTGGCTTCGCTGACATTCACCAGATAGATATCGCCGCTCTTGGATACGATTTCCCATGAACGTGCTAAAGAGAAAGTTCTACGTTCATCACTTTGGAAATACGAGCATCCAAGTTAGAAGTACGCATATCTGGGTACAGCTTCACCTTACATGATGATTCTACGAACTCACAGGTGGGAAATGGAAAGGTCTGATGGAAGGTTTTCATAAATTTCACCATGGCTGTGCCGATAAACAAGGAGGCAGCTAACACTGCCATGCAGCTGCCCTCACATTCAAGAGTTAATCGCTCTTCTTCCTCGAGCCAGTCCCTTGGTAACATCTCAACTTCCAGTGCGGATGAACTGACGTCCGCTCCAGCAGGCAAAGTGTTCATCTTCCAAATCGCTGTCAACGTCAGGCCTACACTAAGACAGCTCACTGCTACTATTCCTTCGAAACCTCCACATAATACCGAGCCGCCTCTGGCTATTTGCCAATTTCGCTGTCAATGGCACATGCCACGGCTTCCACATTCATGCAGCCCGCCTCTGGGGCACACGATATGATTCTGGAATCCGGTAATGACCCTGGAAGGTCATGAAAAGTATATTCGATCCATATCCTTCTTTTCGAACGGCCGGCGAATGATTAGCGGATCTTGGGACAAGACTGCTTGTCGATGGGACCTGCGGACGGGTAAGGAGATTGAAGAAGCACGGGATGTTTGTGAGCAGGGAGTATGGGCGGTAGCGGTATCCAGGGATGGGCGACGCGTTGTCACCTGGGGGTGGAGGTCTCAACCGCGGCGAGCTCAAAGGCCTCGAGGTTGAGACGGGGATCGTGAAAAGATTCGAGGGCCACTCGCGAGGGATCAGCTGCGTAGATATATCTCCGGACAGCAAGCTGGTGGTGAGCGGGTCATGGGATCGTACATCGCGGATATGGAACTTGGGTACTGGCGAACTCGTGGCTGGTCCATTTGAGAGCATTGATTGGGTGGGCGCAGTTCGGTTTTCGTCAGACTCGAAGAAGCTCGCAGTGAAGTCAGAGGCGGGGAAGTGCCTTGAGGTGTGGGATGTCCACACAGAGACTTTGGACGTTAGGATTGGGGAATTTGGTGACATTCCCTTCACATTTGCTCCCGTATTCTGGACAAACAAAAACAAAACCATCATAGCCGCGTTCACCTTCACGTACGACGACGCCACGACGATATACGAGTTCGACGCTTTGACGCTGGAGATCGTCGGAGCTCCGTTTGAGGGGCACAGCAAGATTATTCGCAGTCTAGCCCTTTCATCCGATGGTGTTCTCCTCGCCAGCGCTGCAGAAGACAACACCATCAAGCTGTGGGCCTTCGAGCCCCGCCAGCTCCTCGCTTCTTTCCACGTTGGGACTCCTAGCTCCATCATCCTCTCACCCAACTCACGTCAATTAGCTTACGCGACAGGTCGTAAGATCTATATATGCAACACTCCACTCGACATCCTGATCAGCACCAGGTGTGTGCCTGAAGCACAGGGCAGTGTACGCATACGCCGCATATGTGTATCATCCGTGCGCTGAAATTCCCTTACAGGCCAATGCAGATAAAAATACAAACATCGGTCGCCTACTGAATGTTCGCATTTTCATGATCTTACTCATTTACACAACTCATCCATCGCCATCATTGCAGTTTCATGCAACCCGTCGCCCTGCTACAGTGCGCCGTCACCCAGCGTCATCGCCGGCCATATCTTTCATGCATAGGCCGCACAGACCTCCGCCTACAATAAACCCACAGCAACCCGGTTTACTGCGCCACCTCCGCGAAGTTCTTCGCTTCTCTTCTCGCACCGTCACCATTCCTCCCGCTCAGAACGACCAGCTCCATGATCGGCTAGATGTACGTCTCTTTATCTCGGATCCTTCATAGTTAGCTCAACGATCTCACCGCAGTTCCCTGCTACGTCGCCCATATCCCACAAATGCTCTCTCTCAGGGCTGGCCACAACTGACTTTGATAATGTTAGTCTTTACTTTTAATCCGCTCGCATGTATGACTGACTGCGTATCCAGTCTGAAACAACTTCTCTGCCTAGCCAGATTTTGCGCCGCTCGAATAGAGTCACGCTGTCCCTGCGGCAGCACCTCGCCTTCCCTAGGTCAAGGCGCAGCCAAGAGCCACCGGTCGTTGAAGTCGCGGCCGGACGCAAGTTCCCTGTAATGTGGATCCCCTTTCCTCTCCTTCCGTATTTTCTGATTGGTGCCCTACAGCGACTTGTTGCTGCCAATCTACCGGAATACATAAAAGTCGATGACACCCGACATCCGTCTAGCCAACAGATGCAGATTGCTGTGTCGCAGGACATGAAGGAAAACTCCTCATCGTCCGAGTCATCTGACATTGATTCGCTCCCAGACGTGCATTGGTGCAAGGCGTTCTTCTGCTACTACTCGTGCTGGTCTCACGGTAGACTGAGGATGCCTCCGCGATGGCGCTTAAAGAATGTGGATTCGCCCCATCAGGATGGTATGACGAGTAGTGGTCGCGATGGGGCTCGCGGTTAGAGCCAGTAGTCTAATGTGCACTCGTGTTTGTTGAATGTGATGAATCTGTAAGTTACGTAGCCACGGAAGGTTTAGAGTTTAGCCTTTGAATTGATAACCTGCTACTTAGCGACATCGATATCGATATTAAAATCTTATCTGAACTTTCAGTGTGAACGAACAGTGGCCCCCCGGTATATGACTACCCTTGGCAATTCAAGTGAATTCTGAGGAAATGTGTTGATTCAGAAGTCCATAAGATGCGTCCAATATATTAAGTTACTGAAAGTGATGTTGTTTGGGTTATTTGTAGCTGTGTGGTAACAGCTTCTGGATTAAACAAGACCAAATAACTCTTTGGAATTGAACAAGGCAGGCCGCAGAACGTCCTGACCTTCAAGTTACCCTGACTTGCTCGGTTTCATAATGCCTGGAGAACCATCGCGGTCGACCCTTATAGATGTGTAAGTTGCTGTGCTTTGTTTCACAATGCCATCTCTCCATGACCATTGCTTCTGTGCAGAACCAACCAGCAGCTACATTCCTTACTCTCTGGCAGGCTCGACGGCTCGTCCCCAGATCAACTGTGCGATATTATATCCGCGCGTTCCTCGCAACTTCGAAACGTTGATAGTCCATATGGAAAGCCCACACCGAAGTCACGAGGAGCAGTCGAGGCCGGCTCGGTCACGCTCGCGGATGGCGTCGTGCTGCAAGTCGACGAAGTGGAGAGGGAGTTCACGCTTGCAATCAGTGCTCGGTTCGAGATTGACGAAATTCAAGCTTTTGTCCTCCTTCGATCGTTCATGTATAATGAAGGGCTCTCAGGCAATGGAGGATCGACTGACAAAGGTGTTGTGGACGAGCTCATTGCAGCAATCACGCCATTCTACTACTCCGAACGTCTCTTCGTTTTACGCGTGCTCATTCCACTGTTTCGTGCCCACGAGAACACTGGCGACTCAATACATGATGTTGCCATGAAGTGTCTTCCAAAAATCCTTCAAGACG